ACTCTCGGAGGCCGCTCAGTAAACTCTGGAATATGAAACCCAAAGGGCTGCTAAGCCGCTCACGTGACGTAGCTGTGGTGACGGCACTGTGCGCCAACACAGACACTGTTCTCCTATTGCTATCTATACATTTGTAGTCTTGATTCTGGCTCGTTAAAAAAAAAAAAAAAAAAAGATTTCGACGTAAAACTGACGGGCTGCGCTAAACTGGAGACGATAAGGTGATTGAGGAATCTGAAATATGAGGCAATGGGTGGCGGCACTCACAAAATGCATAATTTGCACGTCATAGAACTGCACACAGGCTACAGCAAAAGACACCCCACGCGATGTAGGAGTGCTTATTCAATGCAAGATCCCAGGTTACAAATAAAATTAAAACGATGACACATGCAAGGTATTCGTGTTGGTATGACGTATTTGTTATGTGTTACGTAATAGCAACAACATCCGGCTTTCTCGTGTGTCCGGTTACAAAATTATGTATCCTCCATTCTTGCCTGATACAACATGCAATAATAAAACGCATGCAATATGACTTTACGTTACCTTTCAGGACGTATTTGAGCATTCTCCCGGGAGCGCAGTCCTATTGAGATGCGCTTCCACGCTTCTCGCTGTCTGTCAGCGACCTTTGCGTTGTCATCAGCTGCAAGTCAAAGGTCAACGCGTTTATTGTCCTAGTAGCTAGATAATAGATGCGTTTGCACCGGGAGGCAGCAACAGGCTACAGCAACGCGATGTGTTCGCATCCTGGTGGAGGAGCCCACAAAGCATCCAAGCTTCTTGCGGTGAATTTTTATATGTGGTTGGGTGAATTCTGTGCTAGCACACGCTACATGGATCCGCCGAACTGCGCCCCTCAGTGCATTCCGTATGCACTGCAATGACTGGAGCAACCTGGTAAAACCTGGACTGGATTTATGACGTGATCATGTGTCTCGTCTCCAATTTCAGACACCATGTTTGTACCGCCCATTCTGTACCATAATAAATAGCAAGGGAAAAGCTTGTACTTTATCAATAAACATGGTCAGCAGAAAGCTTCTTCATTCTCTGGTGAATAATGCACAGATTTCTTCCATCAGACATAATGCATGTTTTGGGTTGTTTTAAATGTCTACGTCAGAGAATATTCGACTATCCGAGTGTGGTGATGACTCTATTTTGATGAATAACTGGTTGCCAACCAATTGCATGGCACATATAGACGACAACCATTCGCACTCACAGTCACACTTTGGGACAATTTAGAGTGTTCCATTAACCTGCCATGCATTTTTTCGGAATGTGGGAGGAAACCGGAGAAAACCCACACAGGCACGGGGAGAACACGCAAACTCCACACAGGAAGGTCAGAGCTGGAATCGAACCCTGCACCTCAGCACTGTGAGGCCAATGTGCTAACTCGTCAAACACCGTGCCGCCCGTTGCTACGTCTTCAGATGCAATTTCAAATGGTGCCATACATAGCGAAAGCTATTTAACATCCAGAAACGCCACCGGCTACTCTGGGCCTGAGCTCGTGTGTGATGGACTGATTCAAAGTGGAAAAGTGTGCTGTGATCTGGAAATTGTGGACATCGTGTTTTCCGGTGTAAAGAGGAGAAGAACCACTCGGATTGTTATGGACACAAATTTCAAAAGCTAGCATCTGTGATGGCATGGGTAACTTGTACATCTGTTCCGATGCCATTAATACTGAAAATGCACACAGGAGCAAATTATACTGCCATCCAAGCAACATGTTTTTGCTTATTTCAATAAGACAATTCTAAGCCACGTTCTGCACGTTACAACTGCATGGCTTCATATTAAAAGAGTGCAAGTACCAGATTGAGATGTCAGCAGTCCAGACCTGTCTCCTATTGTAGATGTGTGGCACATTATGGAGCACACAAAATACAACAGGACACCCCTGAGCAACTGAAGCTGTACATAAAGCAAGAATGGGAAAGAATTCCAGCTACAAAGCTTCAAAAATAAGTTTCCTCAGTTCTCAGATGCTTTTGAGTGTTGTTAAAAGGAAGGGTGATGTAACAACAGTGGTAAACATGCCCGTGTCCCAGCTTCTAATTCAATGTGTTGTAGGCATTAAATTCAAAATGATTCAACATTTGCAGAAAAAAAAAAACCCTATCAAATTGATCAGCTTGAACATTAAATACAATACAATATTAAATATCATGCCTTTGTCATGCATTCAAGTGAATGTAGGTTGAAAATGATACAATGCAATTTTTTTTAATTTCTGGTTTGATATACATTTTACACAATGTCCCAACGAGATTGGAATTGGGGTTGTATGAAGAATGCAAAAATAAATTCCATTGCTGTTTTTCATTATTTCTTTACATTGTAAAGTCTGTATTTATTCTAGTTACAGAGTTGTCGATGGACAATGGGTTAATTTGCAAATTATTATAATTACCAGTACATATAAATACATATTTTGATTAAAAAAAAGAAACAAGTTACTCACCAGTTATTCAGTACTTTTACCTAGTTTTTTCACTTATTTAGTCTAAAGTAATCTGTAGGACTAGTTATTTATTTTGACTTGAGTCCTATTATTCCAACGCATCAGTACTTGAGTGCACATTTTGGCTCCTCTACGCACCTCTGTCCGTGACCCACTTTTGGATCCAATGGTTGAAAATCACTTTGAATCTAAATTTAATGAACACAACATGCATGTTTTTGGAATGTAGCAGGAAGCCGGCATGCCAGGAGAAAACTCACATAAGCACAGAGATGCAAACACAACACAGGAAGCCCAGAGCCTAGATTCAAACCCCAAACCTCAGATCTGCAGACGTGCTTACCACAATATAGTGTGCTCCCCTTAATTGCAGACCCTACACTGGTAATCACACTGTGCATCAACAAAAATTATAGCAATCCTCTTTAACATGAAAGAAGCTGTAAGTAGCACAGCTGACTCCACAGTGCTTGGCATGCACTAATTGCTCACCCCCCCCAAAAAATTTTTTTGATCAAAAAACTGGAGTTTCCTCTCAGAATCTGTATTTTCTACGGGATACTAAACACCAAGGGTCACCAACATCGCGCCAGTGAACACCAGCTAGCCCCCAAAAGTGGGTCTGTTCTAAGAAAAGCTCACCAGTAATAAGACATTGCCATTGCATTTCCTAGAAGTGACCATTTGAAAATGTTAACATTTGCAGAGATTCAGAGAAGCAAAGTGTTGCATATTGATTGACGGATTCACTTTTCCTTACTTGCTAAATGTTTATAATTACTATGGGAAGTCATTAGCACGACCAGTGTCTTCACATATGAAGTAACTAGGGCACGTGTTATTTCAGAAGTGTGTATGAAACTGGTGGTATCCCTTTTGCATGTTAGTATCCAAGAAATAGCTCTCGGTTTCAAAAAGGGTGTATGACCGTGCCATATAGTCAACTATACTGTATATCCCAGGGGTCGGCAACCCAAAATGTTGAAAGAGCCATGTTGTCGGCAACCCAAAATGTTGAAAGAGCCATGTTGGACCCAAACAATAATGCAGGCAACACAGCCTGAGTGTGTGTGTGTGTTGTGTGTGTGTGTGTATATGTGTTTGTATTCATTGGCATTTCAATCACAGTGTGATTATCTGTTTGTGCCTGACTGGGAGCACCGTCTGGTATGGCTAAAGAGGCCGATCCGGGAGTGACAGTCCTTGTTGCAGTGGATGCACCTGAACACACAGTTGGAGGGGGGCGCTTGTTTGTCCTGGCTGTTCTTTCTCCTGGCTCTCTTGTCTTCTGCTGATGCTCTCATCTTCTCCTCCCCTCGGCATAGACCACGTGCCAGTTCTTGTTTCCAATTTGGGCGGTTCTGGGCCAGTGACTCCCATCCCTTCAAATCTACCTCAATAGCCTTCAAGTCCCTGTTGCAAACGTCTTTGAAACGAAGCTGTGGGCGGCCCTGTGTTCTCTTTCCAACTGCGAGTTCTCCATAGAGCAGATCTTTGGGGATCCTACCGTCCTCCATCCTGCGGATGTGGCTGAGCCACCGAAGGCGACGCTGACGGAGGAGGGTGTACATGCTGGGGATGTTGGCACGTTCCAAGACGTCTTTAGCCTGCTATCAACATGACTAAGTTGGCTACAAATACACAACGAATTTTTTTCCCCTGCAGTTCATCCTGTAGAGGAGGGGTGCCCAAACTTTTTGACGGAAGATCTACTTTTCGAACAACCAACCTCCCGCGATCGACCGGTTACCTCACACGCGCGCATACGCACACACTTACACACTCATGCCATAGTGAGCGACAGCCATAATGGCCGCTGAGATGAATGAGGCATGGGACGCATTTTCGCAGCGTGCTAACTATCATAGCGACGTGTTAACTATCGTTGCTCACGTGTACCGTTTAAAAATGCTTCTCTTGGCCGCGAGATTCCCATTCTTAGCAAGTACCCTCGGTGAATTGTACATGAAAGGCAGCTGTTTTTTTTTGTTTGTTTGTTTTTAACAACAGCCTCCTGATTGACATCCCGCCCTGCTAATAGAAACGTGTGTCGCAGGCTATGACGCAAATATTCATTGACGAAATGTTGAAATTTAATACTTATTCGACACATTTTTACAGCATTGGAAAACATTGTGTCATGTTTGTCCTCTGACAGAAACCATATCAAAACAAAGAAATATATTTCCCTCCTATCTTTTTCCATTTTCAAACACTTTTGAAAAAGCTCGAGGGAGCCACTGGGGAGCGCTAAAGAGCTGAATGCTGCTCGAAAGCCGCGTGTGGCCGACGCCCCCTGTATATACGAGACTATTGTGTATGCCTACACCTATGGGCTGCTGTTTGCAATTGAGATATGTGAACGTGCACATACAAAAAATCAATTTTCCAAACAAATCTATTTGTTTGTCTGAAACACGGCTATAACGTGGAAATAATCAAAAAAAAAAAGACAGCTATTCACACACTGGATGGATCCAACTACAAGGGATGAAGTTAATCACATTAAGACAATGTATTCACCAGAAAGTTATTTTTATTGCATTTGGAAGATGACAAGATTGAGCAAAATTGGTATGGAAAATAGTGATGTGAAAATAAATGTCAGACACAAAATTCAGTGGGATATAATCCTCACCAACAGAAAACTTTCACACCGCACCCATCCAGCTCCCTGGTCAAACAAAGCTGCCAAACACCATGCTGAGTATGGAGGCAGCTCAGGTGTTTTCACATTCCCAACAAATCTTTTGACATTTTGCATAGACACATTTTCCTATTGTTTAAAAAAAAAAGGCATGTTGACTCGCTCATCTGTTGAGTCACTATAAGCTCTATAAGAATGCATCGTCTCGTACTTTCCAACAAGTTTAATTTGACAACAACCATTTTATATTCAGTGTAAAAACAAAAGTGTATTTCTCATACTGGAAGTACTCATAACTACAAGGAACTATATTCAGAATTTCAACACGAGTACATACATTGTCACGTTAAGCAGGGTACAAACATATTGACAATTGGGCCACAGGTCCGATTCTCAGATATCTGCGACGGTGATTATCCTGAACGATTGTGCCGTGATGTGGAAAGTGATTTCTCTTCACCTACCTGCTCTGAAAGCGGTGCCAATAATCGTAATCATTGAACCTGTTCAATATTTGTATTGTAAACGCTGAACCTGTTCAATATTTACATTGTAAACGTTGAACATGTTCAGTATTCACAACCTCAAATCCTTATGCTTGTGGTTCACACTGAACTCAGCTTAGCCACATACAATTTGATTGTGATGAGAAAGGTAATGATAGTCAAATGGGAGGTGACCTGAAGCACATGCTGTTGCCAGATAAAAATATTGTGGAGGCGCACCTGGTTGTTTAATAGTTGCATAACAGGTCTCCCAAATCATTCATCACCATGGAAATGACAAGAAGAGTTTGCAACCACAACGCAACCAGACAAGTTAACATTTAACCTTGCTTCTTTGATGACTGTTTTTTCTTCTTCTGCCTTCACAGGTCAATCTCGGATATACGACACACATCCGGTGTGTGAAAGGGGACCCGCGCTTGTTGATTGGGATATCATTATGAGTGTGATGTATTGAGTTGGTCGTCCCAAGCACACCACACACTTAATAGCCGTAGGCCAAACGCTGACCTATTTCTTTTCCTTTTCATGTTTGAGGTATCTCACATTTCCAAAACAAATTATTCCGATGTTGAACCATCGGTATGTGTGTACCCTGCTCAAGATAAAGATCCCAATTCACTGTGAAATTATACATCTTTACATAAGGCAACAGGTAGAGAAGCAGACTTTAGGCAATGGCCATCTATCAGGCAATAATGTACAATGTCCTACATTCTGCTGTAACTTGTCAAAGGTGGGGAACAAAGATATTTGAAACCGGAAGGGAACGTTGAGCGAGTGTAATTACCTGAAGGTGAAAAGCAGAGTGGCGGTTATTGCACGTTACATGAATCACTACAAACCGCAATCAAAGGAACTCTGTCATCTGTGTTTTTTATATTTCCCCAAGCCACAAGGGGGGCTGTAGAGTTACAGTGAGACATTTTTTTAAATGGATTTGCAGTACCAACATAAATGGAAGCACGTACAGATATATGTCATTCAATTCAACAGCTAAATACAACTTTAAACATGAAGATAATAGAGCAAAATAGTAACAAACTAACTCAGTAACTGGTTCTCCCAAGCAGTTACGTCAAAGTGGCCGTGTTTGCATTGCACGGGATGTTACAGCAAATTCCGAAATGACCCCAATAATGTTAATTTCTAATTCAAGAGGGAGAGGAAAGGCACAGACCTGTTGCTATACAATGGTAACTAAAAACTCCAACATCAAAAAGGTCACACATTGTGAAAACCCGCCAATACTTTTCTGGAACACAATGCATTCAAGTTGCATAAAAATTCAGGTCAAACCATCACCTTCCATGACGTTAGATGTGGGGCAAGCATATCGCGCAAATCTTCATCTTGGTGAGCGTCTAAAAGCTGAACAAACTCCACACGTGTATGCGCTTCTTTTGACTTTTTCTGGTTGCCACCACAAAAGCCTACGAAGAGCAAATGTGTGCGAGTGATGGAAACCATAGAACATGAAATGGAACACAGCATATTGCTGGACACGTCTTTGTCGAGGCTGCTGTGCACAAAATGTCTAAAGAGACATTAAAATAATACCAAAGTATAATATTCCAGTACACAGTAAATCTCCCTATGCATGTTCAACACCGCCAACATAATCATTGTTTGGTGAGTACATAATTTATTCTTTTTAAGTTTTACTATACGGTGGAAAATAATTTCCACACATGTACGACAGTTTGAGAATGTAAAAAGACATTATGTATAAGGCGGACTCCCTTCATCAAGACTCCTTCTCCACTTGCTTAGATACTCTCCAACTTATATCTACACTTCTATGACTGTTAAATCATAGTGACAATAACAGTCTGGCTGTGGAATGGATCATTTCAATTTAATTTCTTCTGTGGGAAAAACAACCGAAGAGAACAAACCGCTTTGAACCGGAGGGAAAAGCAAAACCCAGTGGCACGCAAGCCAACGAGCGAAAAGGTTCTGAGAGACTGTCTTTCGGGTGCCACGGGCCTTTAAACGCCCTGAGTCACTCGGGATCACTAATGACGTTTGTTTGATATTCATTCTAGTCTGGTGCTTACACAAAGGTGTGTTCTGTGCTTTCGGCCCTGTCTGGAGGCCCTAGGCAGTCTGGAGGGATGTCGTAGAACTGCCAAGGTGGAGTAAAATTATTTGACTGGCAAATCGTTCAAATGTACTTGCAAATACATTGGACTGTAGTTTTAGGCTATATGGTACAAGTGTAGCAATTTTTTCCCCATACTTCCAAAGGGTATGGACTTCCACATTTTAGCAGTTGGCTTACATTATACAAGCATGTTCAAAAATTAAGTAGGAAAAGATTATTTCTTTATAATTCAATGTTTTTGTTTTGTCTGCAATGCCTGATTTCGATGCTGCATTCCCCCCCCCCCCCATGCCATGGCTTGAGTTGCACATGATACGCATATCACGTGTCACTATGAGAAAAATACAGAACGAAAGTCAATCACTGCATACATAACAAAACCATAAAAGTACAAATATATACCGGTAATGTTTCCTGACCTAATTTTCAAATCTATCGGTATAATGTAGGCCAAATGCTAAGAGAATAGCTGTGTTTATGCTATATTGTCTGAACGTATTCACAAATACGTTCGAAAAGATTTAAAATGTATTCACGAGTAGGTTCAAATGTATTTGCCAGTCAAATTTTTTTTACTCCACATTCCGTATGTATGGGACAAATTGTTTGGAAATAGCAACTATATCGATGGACTGTAGCCCGTCGACTGCCCAAAGGCAGCTGGGATAGACTCCAGCACGCGCGCGACTCTCATGAGGAGATGGATGGATAGACTACGTGTTTGTCAGTTCTCTATAGCAGACAGTCTTGACCATTTCCTTTGAATTTTCTGGGATTTTTAACTGTACGTCTGAGAAGGTACTTTATGGATTTTTAATGAGACTTGATTTGAGATTATTGAATACAATGACACGTGTATATTGGATTAAATGAGTTCATTTCCAAATTCAACTTTGGAATGATTTTCCTCACCCCTACGTAACAGGTTTCTTGTCAATCTAAGTCATACGGTCTGACTTAAAGAATACATTGCATAGCTTGTGGCGGAAATACTGCTAAGGAAATCCTTCCTTTGTGGTTGACATATTTCTTCCTTTTGCTTTTTCTGTCTTCTAACCTGCTTGTTCGCTATTTTCTCCCATGCAGCTCCAGTTTAGATTGCGTGTTATGTGATTGTCGATGTTGCAAGTTAATATCTGTTTGTATAGAATAGCTTCTATTGATCAAGTTAGCTATTCACTAAATACCGTTTCAGTAAAGTACTGCAAAGATCCACATGCACACCTCAAATTAAAAAAAAAAAAATAAAAAAATCATCATCTGCAAAACCCTCATATGAAATTTGGGTGAAAACAGATTTGGTCCTGCCATTTCTCAACTCCGCTGTCAGTGAGGAACCCGAAAGACAAACATTCCAGCATTGAAGAAGATCAATCCACATGTTCTACTTTCTTACTGATGATTTTTGAAATCTTCTCTCAGTCTTCTCAAAGTCAGGGCGCCTGGCTTTGATGGTTATCCAACGGCTGTGCGTGCATCTTTGTGCTGAGGAGGGAGTTGATGTAAGGCCAAATCCGATCCGTTTCGGTACCAGAAAATGAGTGGAGGATTCCTTGTGACCTGAGTGCAGAAGTAAGAAAACAAGTTGCAAGTGTAATGGGACATTTTCATAAAAGGTCATAAAATGCTTTGGTTAAATCCTAACAAGGCAATCAAATAATCATAACAAAACCGACCAATCAGTAAGAGTGCTGTGCTTTTATTGGTCAAATAAAACACATTCAGTTTCTATTTATTCCTTCAGTGTCTAATTGTTTTTTTTTTTTTTTTTTGGAATACGAAGTGAGATGTGTACATAAACTGTGCATCAGCTTTTCTTGCAGATAATGAAAACAAGAATTGACTGACTTGTATAAATCGATGACGGGTTTAGCCACATCTTTGTAATGTCTCAATCTTGCCATCAAAGCTTCTGGTTTGTCGTCATCGTGCTGGATCAGTGGTTCCCCTGTGATGTCATCTTTGCCCTTTGAAGCATCACACAATGAACAGAGAAATAATAAAGTCAGATCTCAATGGACCAAACAGGCCAGCCCAGTAGAAAAATGCACGAATAGTCTGTATACAGTACTTGGATAAAAACAAACTTCATCTTACGTGGGAGCGAGTGTAGCCCCATGAAATGCAGCTGCCAGGGTAATATATGCACATTCATGTTATTGAGTGAATAGTATCGCATGTTTTAAATGTTATCTTCTTTTAGGTGGTATGCACAATCCTGTCATACTTTTTTCAGTGATGGTCCTAGTACACAGTAAGTCGTATTGATAGAAGAGAGAACGATCAAGTGCCTCCTACATTTTCTGCTCATGAGTTCCATGTAATCGATGAGTTATGACATAAAACTGAGGCGCCTTTTCTGTCACATGATCTGCGCTCTTCTGCATAATAATGTTGCACAACAATATGACTGACTCATTTTCCTGTGGTAACTCAAAAATTGTTTCTGTTGAGCCAAGTCTCGATTGAGCTTCAGTACTGAAGTAAGTATTTTCACTTCACTGCAAGGCACACTGGCCATTGAATGGAAAGAAGTTTGCTTGATAGAAACATTTTTTTTTAAATTGCATTCAGTAACACCCCTGTTGATTGTACACACCTATATGTGTATGATATATTGTCAAAGGTGAGTAGTGTAGCCACAAATTCACTTCAAGTAATAGTTACTTTAGAATATGAATCAGGAAAAAGTAAAAAGAATTTCACCACATAATGATATGGACATGTCCTCACTGTAAATGAAAAATGGTTGTCAACTGACCGACCTTCTTTAAGTCAGAATTGTCTGAAATTTACTCAGGAAACAACACATTAGGCTCACCCAGCAGAAATTACAGTCATACATCGGTTATCGACCATAATCCCTTCCAGAAGGCTGTTCGAAAAGCGATTTGTTCGAAATCCGAAACTATTTTATTAGCCCAGGATTAGGGGCTAATACACTATGCATAAATTAAAAAAAACAGCCAGATTTGTGTAAATCACAACAAACACGTCTGCTCACAATGAATGTTACATGAGAAAGTGTCCTTGTGTAAGTAGGCCAAGAGGAGTCGAGTGGCGTATTCGGGTTTGTTCAGTTTGGTTGGAAACCGGTTTTCGGTCGTAATCCGAGGCGTAAAAATCTCAAATTTTCTGGTCGAAAACCAATTTGGTCGATAACAGAGACGTTACATTGTGTGTGTGTGTGTCTGTGTCTGTGGTTGTGCGACTCCCTTGCTCCGTTTAATTGGTCAAACATGACAAGTAGTTCCATTCAGGGGTGTGGCCAGAGATTTTTCAGTGGGGTAGCCAGGGTAACACAACGCCTTGATCAGGGATGGCCTACACAGAATTTCTAAGCGCGGTCAAGGCGTTGAAGATGTATTGTTTGGTAGCATCAGTATTGCATCTCCGCTTTTTGAGATGATGTGGTACCGTTGGCTTCCTCAAGCCGTTATCTCCAACTCTCACTGGAGCGGTTCGCAGCAGACTATGCACCTCCAAATCTGAGACCATGGCCCTCTGAAGTAAGAATAATTATACTGTGTTGTTTTTCCATGTTTAAAGATGTTTCGCAATGGCCCGCAATAGCTTTGTAGTCTTTGTATAAACAGCAATGTCATAGGATGTTTATGATGATGAGCAATGTCATTTGTTAAGACCAAAGATAGCGTGACGTCATGCACGCTTAGACTATAAAAGGAGAGCTTCGGATACTCTTAGTAGAGCCGAGAATTAGGAGAGTCGAGAATCAGCAGAGTCCAGAGTCAGCGGAGTCAAAAGTCCAGAGTGGTATTGAAGCTCGCTCTACCTGGGGTGTTGGCTCTCCATCCTATTGACGCACGGTAAGAGCTGGGTACTATTCTAAGACCTTGATACACTGATATTTGCTTGTTTGACATATTCTGTGGCGCTAATAAACGTGCAATTTGTTAGTAGCAGATTTGTCTCTTGTGTTTCATTTCTGAGTGCCTATCTCCAACGAACCTATTCTAAATTTGATACTGAGCCAGGGCGAGGTATCAGAAATGTTTTAAAACAGAGCGCTTCAGTCCAACAGAGGCCAATTGAGAAAGCAGAGATCTGCTGGCATCCAGACAGTTAAGATTCAGATGGAGCTCCCAGCAGGAGGTCATCTACATACTGCACCAAGAGAACACCAGGGGGCAGTACAAGTGTGGACGGTAGTTGGCGAAGGCAGTCGTTGAAAAGTCCGGGTGAAAGGGCAAAGCCTTGGGGCAGGCGATTGTAGGAGTAGCAAACGCTATTCCAAGTGAAAGCAAAAAATTGCTTCATTGCTCTCTGCACTGTTTGAAGCCAATGGACACCGCCAAATGGCACAGGCGGAAGTTTCTGCATCAACACACTCACATCAGGGGGAGAGAAAGGTTTATAAAACATAGCAGAGTTACCAGTGGATGGGTCAACTTTAGTTAACATAGGTGCCTGCAAGTCTTGGGAACGGGTCACAGGCCGAGAATGAGGAAGAGAAGGATTCTCGGAAGATTCTTCTGGGTCTGCGAGACCTCTGATTCGGCCCAAAGCGGGGTCAGAATGTGCATCTGAAAGAGTCTGGACATGACACTTTAATTTTTTGAAATGATTCTGTAATCGAGCAATGTGGAACCTGTTTTCCATCTCTTCAATTGAAAGACCTCCAGTTTCGTGTTCTGCAGCATAGAGAGCAGCTTCCTGTTCCAATTTCAGTCGGGCAGCATCTCGTTCAATGCGAAGGGCAAGATTTTGCTCTTCTGCCTCAGTGTTTGCTCTGTCTTTATGTTCAGTGGCGATTTTCTTAAGTTGATCTTTGATATTTTGTGGAACCTCTTGGTGTCTATTTAATTCTGTCATGTATAGTCTTATCTGTGTGAATGGGTCGGCCTTCAAGTCTGCAACTTTTTCTAATTTATCTTCTAATTCTCTAATGGCGGTGGTCCCCCCAACAGCCAGAGTTTCTGCAACTTTATTTATATTTGACGTTGTCTGTTGTGAGAGAATGAGAGATGTTTGATCGACTACATCTATTTCAAGTCGGCCTGTAGTTACATTCAATATTGAAGCCTTGCAGACTTCACCCACTTCTTGAATTGATTTTTCGTCCGGTCAGCCTTCTGCATCAGTTCCGAAACAGCTTTTTTCCTCTCTTCTCCCTCTGGATATTTTTCAGCAAAGGCTCTGTGTGTATTGTTAAAATGTCTTGCAACATTTGACCCTTTATTGTTAGCCAGTTTTTCTCCACAAATTAGGCATACTGGTAGGCCACGTAAATGCAAATGAATCTGCCAAGGCATCATTGAATGTTCTATTTTCTTGAGATATTTTTCTTTTCTTACATTTCTCCATTGGCTTTGCCGGGGTTGAAAGTCGCTCAAAATAGACGCCGTTTCAGCGGGTATACCAGCTTCCGCAGTGTGACGTCTATTTTGAGCGACGAAAAAAAATAATCAAATAATTTAATTAATATTTTAATATTTCAAGATCACAATAATCTTCAAATTTAGAACTAAAATAATATAAAAACTAACACAAATAAAACACACTTCAATTAAATACAAAAAAAAAAAATTTAGTAATTTATTTTCCCAAGCCAATCAGAGCCGCATTATAAGGATGAAAGAGCCGCATGAGGCTCCGGAGCCGCGGGATGCCGACTGATGGCATAGGGGATATCAGACCCCATGTACAACCTGAGAGGGTGCTGGTTGACACAAGAGCGGAGGCCTCACTGATACACGGAAACTATGTCTAAATTTGATCAAAGGATATTATGGGACACCTCTTCAAATTCAATCAGATAATGGAACCCATTTCACAGGAAATGTGGTCAAAGACTGGGCTCGAGAGCACAATGTGGAATGGATCTATCACATTCCCTACTACCCGCAAGCTGCAGGTTTGATTGAAAGAGTGAATGGATTGTTGAAAGAAACAATTCGAAAGAATGCATCTGACCGAACACTGAACAAATGGAGAGATTATTTGGAGCTGTCAGTTGAACAACTCAACAACAGACCAGTGGGGTCAGGAGTAACTCCTTTGATTTGAATGATTTCAAATCAGGAATCGGTGAGTACCGAAGAAAGCATTAAAATATGGAAAATTGACCCAAATGCGGAAATTCCGGTAAGAGCCACGCCAGGCTCTGCTGGACTGGATTTGCGGACACTAAATGCAGAAACCATCCTCCCACGAGAAATCCAAATTGTAAGAACAGGGTTGGGACTACAATGTCCGAAAGGGAGACATGGGCATGTTCTACCAAGGAGTGGTTTATCCCTGAAAGGGTTAACCATCCAAGCAGGGGTAATCGACGCGGATTACCAAGGAGAAATTGGAATAATATGCAAATTGTTCGCGGACCAACCCTTGATTTTGGAAAAAGGAAGCAAATTGGCTCAATTGGTAATTAAACCCTGTAATATGACCTCGGTGCAGGAAATTTCAAAACCTGTATTACAGACTATAAGGGGGGATGGAGGATTCGGCTCGACGGACAAAGCGGGAGCTAAAGTATGGGTTAAACAACCCTCCGGGCCACCAAAGGCTGCCGAAATTATTGCTCAAGGATCAGATGCAACAGTCAGCGTGTTGTATCAAGGACAGGAAAAATGGGTAAATGTACCCATCAGTAAATGCTATTTGCGAGAAGACTAATCATGTTTTCTTTTGTCAATAGCGTTAACCAGATCTGTTGCAGCTTGGTGTGTGCATGCTGAAGTGGGAGCTGATTGGACGACCCTCGACGGAAGGACGCAGAGATGGAGGACCAAGGAAAGTCATGGACGATCACGGCAGAGGAGAACTTCCTTCACCATCAATAACCCAAACACACTTGGCTCCCATCATCTACACTTGCACACACCTGGCCCAAGCGACTGTGGAAACGAAAGTATATTGACGAAACTAGATGTACTGGGTGTTGGACCCAATACAATGTGACAACAACGAAGGTGGTTTGTAAATATCAAGTTTTACCTGTCATTAC